CAGCAAGTCCTGCTCCTGCTGGGCCCCCCAGTGCCGGGAGGGGGCCAGGGCAGCGCCCCCCAGTGCCAGGATGGGGTGTGGGGGCCAGGGGCAGTGCCCCCCAGTGCCAGGATGGGATATCGGGGCAGGGGCAGCACCCCCCCCAGTGCCAGGATGAAGCACAGGACGGTGCAGGTGCAGTAACGCTGTCTGGCGCCAGGACTCTGTCTGCAACAGGCGCCGTTCCTCGCTGAATGAGGGTTACTCACACTGCCGAGCGCTGTCACCGCGCTGTCGACAGGCGAGTGCAGAAGCACAGGACGGTGCAGGTGCAGTAACGCTGTCTGGCGCCAGGACTCTGTCTGCAACAGGCGCCGTTCCTCGCTGAATGAGGGTTACTCACACTGCCGAGCGCTGTCACCGCGCTGTCGACAGGCGAGTGCAGAAGCACAGGACGGTGCAGGTGCAGTAACGCTGTCTGGCGCCAGGACTCTGTCTGCAACAGGCGCCGTTCCTCGCTGAATGAGGGTTACTCACACTGCCGAGCGCTGTCACCGCGCTGTCGACAGGCGAGTGCAGAAGCACAGGACGGTGCAGGTGCAGTAACGCTGTCTGGCGCCAGGACTCTGTCTGCAACAGGCGCCGTTCCTCGCTGAATGAGGGTTACTCACACTGCCGAGCGCTGTCACCGCGCTGTCGACAGGCGAGTGCAGAAGCACAGGACGGTGCAGGTGCAGTAACGCTGTCTGGCGCCAGGACTCTGTCTGCAACAGGCGCCGTTCCTCGCTGAATGAGGGTTACTCACACTGCCGAGCGCTGTCACCGCGCTGTCGACAGGCGAGTGCAGAAGCACAGGACGGTGCAGGTGCAGTAACGCTGTCTGGCGCCAGGACTCTGTCTGCAACAGGCGCCGTTCCTCGCTGAATGAGGGTTACTCACACTGCCGAGCGCTGTCACCGCGCTGTCGACAGGCGAGTGCAGAAGCACAGGACGGTGCAGGTGCAGTAACGCTGTCTGGCGCCAGGACTCTGTCTGCAACAGGCGCCGTTCCTCGCTGAATGAGGGTTACTCACACTGCCGAGCGCTGTCACCGCGCTGTCGACAGGCGAGTGCAGAAGCACAGGACGGTGCAGGTGCAGTAACGCTGTCTGGCGCCAGGACTCTGTCTGCAACAGGCGCCGTTCCTCGCTGAATGAGGGTTACTCACACTGCCGAGCGCTGTCACCGCGCTGTCGACAGGCGAGTGCAGAAGCACAGGACGGTGCAGGTGCAGTAACGCTGTCTGGCGCCAGGACTCTGTCTGCAACAGGCGCCGTTCCTCGCTGAATGAGGGTTACTCACACTGCCGAGCGCTGTCACCGCGCTGTCGACAGGCGAGTGCAGAAGCACAGGACGGTGCAGGTGCAGTAACGCTGTCTGGCGCCAGGACTCTGTCTGCAACAGGCGCCGTTCCTCGCTGAATGAGGGTTACTCACACTGCCGAGCGCTGTCACCGCGCTGTCGACAGGCGAGTGCAGAAGCACAGGACGGTGCAGGTGCAGTAACGCTGTCTGGCGCCAGGACTCTGTCTGCAACAGGCGCCGTTCCTCGCTGAATGAGGGTTACTCACACTGCCGAGCGCTGTCACCGCGCTGTCGACAGGCGAGTGCAGAAGCACAGGACGGTGCAGGTGCAGTAACGCTGTCTGGCGCCAGGACTCTGTCTGCAACAGGCGCCGTTCCTCGCTGAATGAGGGTTACTCACACTGCCGAGCGCTGTCACCGCGCTGTCGACAGGCGAGTGCAGAAGCACAGGACGGTGCAGGTGCAGTAACGCTGTCTGGCGCCAGGACTCTGTCTGCAACAGGCGCCGTTCCTCGCTGAATGAGGGTTACTCACACTGCCGAGCGCTGTCACCGCGCTGTCGACAGGCGAGTGCAGAAGCACAGGACGGTGCAGGTGCAGTAACGCTGTCTGGCGCCAGGACTCTGTCTGCAACAGGCGCCGTTCCTCGCTGAATGAGGGTTACTCACACTGCCGAGCGCTGTCACCGCGCTGTCGACAGGCGAGTGCAGAAGCACAGGACGGTGCAGGTGCAGTAACGCTGTCTGGCGCCAGGACTCTGTCTGCAACAGGCGCCGTTCCTCGCTGAATGAGGGTTACTCACACTGCCGAGCGCTGTCACCGCGCTGTCGACAGGCGAGTGCAGAAGCACAGGACGGTGCAGGTGCAGTAACGCTGTCTGGCGCCAGGACTCTGTCTGCAACAGGCGCCGTTCCTCGCTGAATGAGGGTTACTCACACTGCCGAGCGCTGTCACCGCGCTGTCGACAGGCGAGTGCAGAAGCACAGGACGGTGCAGGTGCAGTAACGCTGTCTGGCGCCAGGACTCTGTCTGCAACAGGCGCCGTTCCTCGCTGAATGAGGGTTACTCACACTGCCGAGCGCTGTCACCGCGCTGTCGACAGGCGAGTGCAGAAGCACAGGACGGTGCAGGTGCAGTAACGCTGTCTGGCGCCAGGACTCTGTCTGCAACAGGCGCCGTTCCTCGCTGAATGAGGGTTACTCACACTGCCGAGCGCTGTCACCGCGCTGTCGACAGGCGAGTGCAGAAGCACAGGACGGTGCAGGTGCAGTAACGCTGTCTGGCGCCAGGACTCTGTCTGCAACAGGCGCCGTTCCTCGCTGAATGAGGGTTACTCACACTGCCGAGCGCTGTCACCGCGCTGTCGACAGGCGAGTGCAGAAGCACAGGACGGTGCAGGTGCAGTAACGCTGTCTGGCGCCAGGACTCTGTCTGCAACAGGCGCCGTTCCTCGCTGAATGAGGGTTACTCACACTGCCGAGCGCTGTCACCGCGCTGTCGACAGGCGAGTGCAGAAGCACAGGACGGTGCAGGTGCAGTAACGCTGTCTGGCGCCAGGACTCTGTCTGCAACAGGCGCCGTTCCTCGCTGAATGAGGGTTACTCACACTGCCGAGCGCTGTCACCGCGCTGTCGACAGGCGAGTGCAGAAGCACAGGACGGTGCAGGTGCAGTAACGCTGTCTGGCGCCAGGACTCTGTCTGCAACAGGCGCCGTTCCTCGCTGAATGAGGGTTACTCACACTGCCGAGCGCTGTCACCGCGCTGTCGACAGGCGAGTGCAGAAGCACAGGACGGTGCAGGTGCAGTAACGCTGTCTGGCGCCAGGACTCTGTCTGCAACAGGCGCCGTTCCTCGCTGAATGAGGGTTACTCACACTGCCGAGCGCTGTCACCGCGCTGTCGACAGGCGAGTGCAGAAGCACAGGACGGTGCAGGTGCAGTAACGCTGTCTGGCGCCAGGACTCTGTCTGCAACAGGCGCCGTTCCTCGCTGAATGAGGGTTACTCACACTGCCGAGCGCTGTCACCGCGCTGTCGACAGGCGAGTGCAGAAGCACAGGACGGTGCAGGTGCAGTAACGCTGTCTGGCGCCAGGACTCTGTCTGCAACAGGCGCCGTTCCTCGCTGAATGAGGGTTACTCACACTGCCGAGCGCTGTCACCGCGCTGTCGACAGGCGAGTGCAGAAGCACAGGACGGTGCAGGTGCAGTAACGCTGTCTGGCGCCAGGACTCTGTCTGCAACAGGCGCCGTTCCTCGCTGAATGAGGGTTACTCACACTGCCGAGCGCTGTCACCGCGCTGTCGACAGGCGAGTGCAGAAGCACAGGACGGTGCAGGTGCAGTAACGCTGTCTGGCGCCAGGACTCTGTCTGCAACAGGCGCCGTTCCTCGCTGAATGAGGGTTACTCACACTGCCGAGCGCTGTCACCGCGCTGTCGACAGGCGAGTGCAGAAGCACAGGACGGTGCAGGTGCAGTAACGCTGTCTGGCGCCAGGACTCTGTCTGCAACAGGCGCCGTTCCTCGCTGAATGAGGGTTACTCACACAGCCGAGCGCTGTCACCGCGCTGTCGACAGAACTCGGCGGCAGTGTAGACTAGACACACCCCT